TCTCTTATCCGCAGCTGGTTATGCATGAGCTAAATATGGCTGCAACATTGCAACATCATGACAGCAAGCACTGACACAGCTTCATCACAAGCCCAGGCACCGACACAGCATCACCGCAACAAAGCAGGGAAATCACAGCTTTTTTTTTCTAGCAGCGCGGCTTTTCTGCCCGCTGTGCCATGGCTGCCTCAGATGCGCAGTGGTACCGCTTGGAGGGAGACTTGCTTCAGAGGCTGAAAGGCCGCTATGAAGCGGCGCTGGAAGTGCCGCAGCGCAGAGAGGCGAGCGAGTGCTGCTGCTGCCACGCTAGGCGAGCGCGGCTCCTGCAGAGGCACCGCCCGGACAGAGCTGAGCCTCAAGCGGGCCCCAGATGCGTTCAGACAGCGCGAATTGGTTTGAGCTGAATAAAATAAAAAATATTCAGTCGGTCGGACGAGCACGTCCTTTTTTCTGTCAGGGATTCTGTTCTGTCATCTACCGCGCCACAGCGAGGGCGGCGCTGCCCTGCAGGTTCAGCGCAGTGAGGAGCTCTCTTGCGCGCCTTCTCGACCCGCTCCAAGGCAGCGAGGGTTGCGCTCTTGGCCGCCAATGAGACCGGCAGCCGCTCAGCGATTTTCTTGCTGACGAGCTGCTCCTCCACCTCGTAGAGCTCCCTCTCGATCTGGGCCAGCGATGCGATGTCGGCCAGCGATGCGATGTCGCTTCTGCGAATGCGGCGCTGCCTCAGGGCCTTGCGCTTCTCGCGGAGCGCTTCCATCGCCTCCCAGCTCTCCTCCTTGCGCTCCTTGGCCGCCGCGGGAGCAGCGCTGCGAGCCGTGCGCTGATTCAGGCGCTTGCGAAGCTGCGCGAACTGCGCGAACTGCGCGAAGTGCGCAGCGACTGCAGCGACAGCTGCAGACTGCGCCGCGCGAAAGCGCGAACATAGAACATCGCACCTCTCTCTTTAGAGGGGGTTCTATTCCACCTGGCAGGCTCCTGGACTCGTCCGTCCAGGAAACAACCTCGTCCTGCGAAGGATTCGCTGCGTGCAGGCGTGTGGCGACCCCCAGATATGCGGTTTGGCAAAATGCCCCGCAGCTGCGTTTCTGCAAGGCGAGCCCCCTCAAAGGAAACCCTGGCTGGCTTTTTGGCTGGCTTCTGGCTGGCTTCTATCAAAAAAAGAGGTTTGGCTGGGCTTTCTGGCTGGTTTGGCTGGCTTTCTGGCTGGCTGCTGGCTGGCTTTCTTTTTTTCCCCCTGTTTTTTTTAGCTCGCCTTGCAGAAGGGCATTTTGCAAGCATATCTAGGGGTCGTTATGTTGCAGCCACACGCCTGCACGCAGCGTTTTAGGTTTCGAATCCTTCGCAGGACGAGGTCGTTTCCTGGACGGACGAGTGCCAGGAGCCTACCAGGTGTTCTGGTTGTACTCGCGGCCCTTCAGCCACGGTGCGGCCGTAGTTTATGTCGTCGCAGCGCTGGCCGTTGGCGAAGAGCGTGCCAAGATGCCCCTGAGCGGCGTCAGCGCCCGTTCGGGCGACCTGGCTTGGTTCACTTTCAAGGCGCTCGACGGTGATGACGTGTTCATCTACCTGATAGCCTAGCACGGGAGTCTCTGTGCTGGACTAGCAAGGCTCCATAACTCAATCGGAAGAGGCGCGCAGCTCTAAAGCTTGGAGGGTGCGGGCTCGATTCCACCAGGCGCGGGCACGGATCTTTTTCTGGTGAGCCTTAGGGAATTTTTCCCTCGCCCGAGACGGATCATCTCCGAGACGGATCTTTTCGCCTCGCCCGGCGAGCGCCTCTCCTGAGAATAACTCTATTCCAAGGTCCGAGACGGATCTTCCGAGACGGATCTTTTCGCCTCCAGCGTTGCTGCCGAAAGCAACCCAGCGCATTGCTCCTCACGCGTGGTTGGCAGCCATTCCAACATAGACAAGGGCGGCGCTCCCAGCTGGCAAAACCTTGCTGTCTTCAGTTTTTTCGCTAAGTAGGAAAAGTGCTTAAGCTCTGCTGAAAAAGCTGAAGACGAGCACCCAACGCGTAAGTGCGGAGTTGGATGACGAGGGAACTAACTTAAGAACGGTCTTGTACACCTTGCGTGGAGGTCCGTGCGGCCTGATCACCCGCTCCACTGGGGCACTCGCATTGATGGGGCACAGCCCGCAGCTTAAGCAAGGCTGCAAGGGCGGTCTGCAGGGCGGTTTATAAAACGGTAAAGTTCTCGGCTAAGATCGTCTGCCAATTCAGCCAGGCACGTGTGGGGGCTGCAAGTGCACGTCTGTGTTGACCTGGCAACTGTGCTGTCCAGAACAAGGCGTGGTTTTTTTCCTTCTGCAAAGACCACATTAAATTGGTCACCCCACCCCATGATTGCGCAATGGCGCGAAGCGGTGCAGTCGGAACGGCTGGCCTGGGTCAAGGCTTGAAGAAAGGGAGTTTGAAAAGCAGTACTGCTCAGCCATTGCAACCACGGTGTTGTAGGGCCTGCAGCGGGCGTACAGCGTGGGGCAAAGCCAGGAAAGAAGTGCGCGCCTTTTGGATTTGCGCGTTCAGGGTTGTTTGGGCTGGGAGCAGTGCAACAGGCCTTAACGCTCAGCGTTACATAGCGTGCTTCGAAACACTGGCCCAGCTGGCCCTCATGCGCATTGCATGGAAAACGGAAGGCCACACGCACCACAGCGGAGCGTTTTGCTTGCCGGATTGCTTTGTTTTTTCCCTGGCTTGTCCCCCGTTTGTTGGCTTGAAGCATTCTAACTAAAGAAGTTTCAAAGTCTGAAGCACGACAAAAATGTGTCCTAGATCAACGTTGTTTGAAATCGCGACTTGTGCAGTGCCGCGCGCCAATAGCTATGTGTTGGTTTCAGACATGTGCCACGTTTTCAACTTATGAAAATAGTTCGATTGCACGGGATGTGTGTTGATTTTAAAACGACAACACGAGGAGCCAAAATATGTACAGCTTTGCAATGTAAATGGAACTTACCTCGACTTTTTTGCCACAAACAATTTTAACGAAACTTTAAACAAACGACAAGAACATAAAAGGAAAAACATGCCAAGCACATTTTCCTTCAACTTAGCAATGTGCAGCTTACCAATGTAAACTATCATCTGTTATTGGAAAATATGCTTGGCATTTTTGCAGTGGATGTTGTCTTTAGGCATGTCTTGTAGAGCCTGACATCATGAACGTATGTGGGCCTTGTGGATCATTTTTTTGCCACGTCGCTGACGCGCGGGGTCAAACAAACATGAATTAGCCAGTTGTTATCGACTAAACAAAATGTATGCGCACGAACTGCAACAAAATTGCAAGCAGAGAGATTGTGCAGCGAAGCTGCTTGCAGCGACGGCAGTTGGTTGAACAAACAGATGCTGCAGGAAACCTGCGCCAAAAACGTACTTCTCGTTGTGTGTTCCCAGGACGGGCTGGCTGCCCGGCTTCGTGTTGCTGAATGTTCAACAGGAATACCATGTTGGCAGCGGCCGGCGCAAGCAGCTTCGCCTTTTTGCATGCTCAGCTGAAATGGGGGTTGGGAGTTGCGTCGGCCCTTATGCAAGGATTTCAGGCTGGGTTAGCTGGTGTGGGTGCAACGCAACATTCATCGGGCAGGCGGCAGGCTGATTGCTCGGTAACGCAGCGAGTTTGATTGTTGGCTACCCGAAGCCAGTTGGCCCCCAGAACGCCACAGGTTTGTGCTAACAGTTTAAAAACGGTGAGCATTGAGCATTGAAGAGCATGCAGGGAGCGGCAACAGCAACAAGTCTCAGTTTTTATTGGTACTTGCCCGGAAGGTGCGGACCGCGGAGCACCTTTGCGAGCTCGTTCCCCGCATGTTCCGAGCCATTTGCAAACATGCTCGTGTGAAGTGTCGGAGCCGAGGTGGTTTCAAGCTTGCCAAACAAATGCGAATCCCGCGGGAGGCCATGTTTTTCCGCTATCCTCTTTCTCGCATTGTAACGCTTTTCAAATGTTTCAATCCTGGCCACGCGCAAAAAAAAACACTAACACAAACGCAGCACGGCTGAAATGGCGCCATTTCAATTTCGACTGAGGATTTGTCCGAGCTTTGGCCGGCTACAGTTTTGTTGCGAATGGTTCATACCCGGAGCACCCTGTTTTGGCCTCGCATCGTTTATCCGTTCGAAGGCGCAAAGGTCTCATTGTCAAGTACCCACATTGAGCATCGGTCTCCCACACCGATGAAGGCGCCAGGGCCACAAAGAACAATGCTTTTAAGAACCCTTGTTGTGAAATCCCGGTTTATGGAAGGTGCTTTTGAACTTTCGCGAAAGCTGGAGAAAGTTAGACAGAGATCCGGATTTCGGACGGCTTGGTTGAAGGTGTTTTCGCCAGCCGCTGCTTACAATTTTGGGCACTTTTGGAGTGCAGAGCAGTACATTAGAGAATGCTTGGGAATTCCAACTTTGCAGGGAAAACACGCAATGCCCCACACTGGCTGCACAGCAAAACCGAATATTGACTTGAGCTGAGCTTGGCATTCGCCATGGCGGACTTCAAGCCCTTCTCGGCATACATCGTGGATGCTTGCCGGACTCCTCTCCCTCACATGGCTTGTCCATGATATTTGTCGGATGCGACTGCAGCATTCACATCAACGTTCAATTCAACCTCTATACGAGTTGATGATTGCAACCTCTATACGAGTTGATGATTGGCTTGGAAGGTGGAACTACATGCGGGGAAGTACAACTTATGAAAGCGCAATCCTTTCCTCACCCCCTTCCTTTCAGACAAGTTGCACCTGGGAATGAGGCCCCCAAGCTTCCCCAAGGCTTGACCAAGGCTTTTCTAAGCTTCCTTAAGGCTTCTCTAAGCATCCCCAAGCCTTCTCCGAAAGGTTCCGCAAGGCTTCCACAAGCCACCTATCACATCCCAAAGGGCTTTGAAAGGGGGTGTTGAGGCCTCATAAACAACTGAGTGGATGGCCTCCATGCGGGCACTTCCAAGACAATGGCCGAAAATTGGCCACAGTTTACCACTCTTTCATGAAGCCCAAACATGCTTAGGGAAATACAGATTGGTGTGCGCAGGCTTGCCGGGGGCAAGAGGAACGGAAAGTTGTCAGGTTCGGGCTCTCAGAGAAGCAGTGTCGTATTTGCGAACGGGATCAGCTGCGTTGCATTTGTTTTGGTACCAGGAACGGAGGCGAGCCATTGAGTGTCAAACACGTGGACAGCCAGTCTCGGAATTCAATTCCTTGCCACGGCAACACCCATGGCTTCCCCCAAAGTCGCTTGTGTTGGGTCGCGTCCCATGGTCCCATCCAAACCTGATGAGGTTCGTTTGCTGTTCCACTGTTTTATGTCATTTTTGTACATCCCTGAGGCTACCAGCCGGCCGAACTGGGGGCTGCAGTGTGTGACGCGCTGGTGGAAAGACAGCGGTTGGCAGGCCAAGAGGCTGGGGGGACTTTGTATTCAGGGGACCTTTGTGATTTCGGGATCAAGCCGTTGATTTTGTTGGTGCAGCTTTGCATTGGCGGATGCGCACTTCAAAAGCGCAAGCGTTTAAGATGACTGTTAGTTGGCTGGTTGGCTTTGGACGGCAATGCGCCCTGCCTGCATGTGTGCCAGGTGGAAGATGTAATTTTTGGCTGCGTGAGCCAAGTGGGAGCTCAGGCAGGTGGGCCAGTTTTGTTGACTCGTTTTGCAGAGGCTTCAACGCAAAGACCACTCAGGGGCCAAAGATTTGATTTCCCCCCTCGTTTGTTGAATTGAAAGGCATGGGGATACAAGGAATTGCAGCAGTTGCTTTGCACCTCTGCCATCCTGGGAAGGCCTTTCTGCTCGAGTCTGTCACGTGTTTGCGCGGACCTCCCCTCCCCTCCCCTCCCCTCCCCTCCCCTCCCCTCCCCTCCCCTCCCCTCTCCCTCCCCTCCCCCCCTCCCCTCCCCTCCCCTCCCCTCCCCCTCCCTCCCCCTCCCCCTCCCTCCCAAAGCACGAAAAAACTGAAGAAGCATACCAAGTTCAAACAACGCACTTTGAAAGAGATATGCAAATTAAGGAACACATAACATGCTATAATCTTTACAAATCATAAGTATAATATGATTACACCATATAAATTTTCAATGTTATAATTATAGTAAAATGACAATAAACAAATATCGACCACAATAAAGGTTACATCATGTCGTTAGATATTCTTTGCTACCAAGGATTTTGAAATGACATGAAGTCACCTCAAGGAGTTTGTCGTGACATCATGTCATCTTAAATTCCCTGCCCTTCAAGAATGTGGTAAAATCCATAATTTAGGTTGGGATCAGGGTATTGGCGCCCCAAGGAATTTGTCGTGACATCATGTCATCTTAAATTCCTCGGGGTAAAGAATGACATTATTGGAATTCAAGAAGAACTGTCTGACTAAATGACAATTGAACAATAATTCTAATACTTTTTTAAGATTAATATCTATGAATACATCCCTGTGTTTTCATCTTTAATTACTGACTCGATTAGTTCCATTGTATAATAACAACAGTTTTAGTTTTATTATTAGTTATGACAACTTCTTCATCTACATTCTCTACTTCATTATTTTTCTTGATATAATCATAAACAACTTCTATCCATATAAACGATAAGATAACCTATACTTTCATTTTTTGTTTTGTAAAGTTGTTTCATGGTATCGTCTTTATTCCATCTATATTCTACAATATTCTGATGATGTTTATAATTTAGATGCTTAAATACATATTTGTCATCATAAGTTTTACCACAACTACAATGAACGATAGTCATATATATAATAAACAAATGGTTATATTTAATCTTATTATTGAAATATTTGGGACTCAGCAATGAGGTTTCTTCGCACTGCACACATAAGCGGGGTTCAAACTAGTTATCCTTAATGCTTATGATTGAAGCAATGAACATTTGTTCCATTTATGATATCCCTATATCATAAACGATAGTTCATACAATATGAATTATAATTATTATTCTTTAAGTATTCATAATATTACTTTTATTATTCCTGAAGTAAAACCAATTGATGAAATAAGAACTAGACTTTAAACAAAGTAATCACGAGGTTGTCCCTAATTTACCGATGAGAGCGATGATTGTTGGACCGTCTGGGAAGTGGAAAATCAACTTTACTTGTTTCAATGATACTTTATATGTATAGAGGAGCATTTGGAAGAATGTTTAGCTGGTCTCCATCAGTAAATTTGGATAGTATTTGGTCGTAGTGAAGAAATACATTCAGGAAGGTTTAAAAGTTGATACTGATAAGGAACCGTGTTGGTGGGATGAGTTCAATTTTGAAGATTGAAAAGAGCTATAGAAACTAAAAATAGAATAATTGAATATCAGAAAACAAACAAGGATGCATAATATATTTAATATTTTGATAACTTTGGATGATGTATCTGATAATCCAGCAATAACAAGAAATAACAAATTGTGAAATGCTTTATTTGGTAGAGGTCGTCATAGTGGAATATCAACACATGTCAGTCTTCAAACATCATCAATAGTGCCACCAGTTATCACAGTGAATATAAGTCATTTGTTTTATTATAAAGTTAGACACTTCAAATAAATTGACATATTACAAGATGAATTATCAGCAGTTGTTAGAAGCGATAATTTACACGAAAGCAAGAAGCTAATTTATTAAATATATGAGACCGCCACTATGAACCACATAGTTTTTCTATATTAACCTTTTAGAAAATAATCCTGGTAAAATGTGTATGAAGGAGTTTTCACTTTTCACATCATTTTGAATATCAGTAAATCATATTTAAAGTTATAATACTATTTAATCTTATACAATGCGTAAAAAGGTAATACTTATTCTATAAATGTTTTTCTATAGATTTAAGTGTCAAAGACTGTTATGTTGGACGTACTACAAATTTTGTTAAACGAAAATGTGCTATTAAACTAATACTGAGAAAGAAAACGATAAACAACTATAATCAATATGTATATCAATTTGTTCGTGAAAAGGAGGATGGAATACTGTTGAAATGGTTTTAATACAGAATTTGAAATGTGAAAACCGTTTAGAAGCATCAATGAAAGAAAGAGAATATAAAGAACAATTGAACGCACCATTAAACCTACTAAATCCACACAACAAATGAAGACAGATTAGAACAGGCAGAAAAGTATAGTGAATGGAAAAAGGAAGACAGAAAACAAGTTCCTGACAAACACAAAGAAAGAGACAAAGCAAAATACAAAAAGTTTAGTGATGCAATAAAAGAAAAAGCAAGAGACATATATTGGTTAAAAAAGGATGAAATTAATGAAGCAAAGAAAGGCAAATATCATAATCATGGAGGGAAAGCGAAAAATACAATACATTGTAAGAAATATAGAGAATAACATAAAGAAGAGGTGAAAGAAATGAATAAACGATGGTATAATAATATGAAAGAAGGAACATAATGTGAGTGTGGACAAAAGTTGTTAAAGCATAACTTATCAATACATATATCAAGGAGAAAGCACCAATAATATTAAAAATCAATAGCACAATCAATGTTTTAAAGTTAAATAAACTACCAATATTATAAAATGTTAAAAGTGATTCAATGAAGAATATATGAATAACCAGTAAGGTTTTTCGGCGATGATATACCAAAACAGATTCAAGAATACCGGAAGCAAAGACTACAACAATTAGTTGAGTGTGAATGTGGTGAAACTTGTAATGAAGGATGCTTTTGACCAGAGTAATGTATTTGTCATATTGCTTTTAAGGAAGAAGAAAAATTAAGGAAAGAATTAGAAGAACATTTTACACATAGAAAATGATAGTGGTAGTGATAGTGATAATTATAGTTATGGTGGTTCAACAAGAGAGCCAGATGATTGATAATATTCACCAATTTTGATATTATCAATTTAGAACAAACTATAACTACATAAATTTAACGCAGGTAATTTATAATGATTCTTATCACTTTCTTCTTCTTCCAACTTATTTACTTGTTCATATAGTGTTTTACACTTTTAATCAATAGTCGCTGACGAGTATCCTCATCATCAATTTGATCTAATTTATCAAGAGGTGTATTTTTCAATATCAGTTTTCTTTTTGAAAAAAAACACATTATGTATTATTTAGATTTTTCTTCTTTCAAATCCTTAATTTCTTTTTCCGATTTTTCAACTTTATCTATTGCTTCAAGCAGTGCTTTATGTAATAATATTGGAACTTCTTTATATTCAATGCCTACATATTCACGACTGGTATGAACTACATTACTAATTTCTTGTGGAACTGCTTTTAATAATTCATCAGCAATATAACCTACATGAAAGGCATCCTTATCGTTTCTATCTTTCCTTTTGAACTTTTAGGTTTAATTTTCTTAATCGTATTTATACAATTAGTTTTAAGCAAATCTACATCGTATTTCAATCTGGCATCACCATTGTCCATTAGAGAAGCATCTTTGGTTACAGTTCCAGCAGCAATATCATTAGCGTCACCCAGTATTTACTGTTGTTTCAAATGTCTTATCAATAGATAAAAAAATCGAAAGTGTAGTTGAACTATCTGCCACTCTAAACGCCGTGTTTGTTGTTCTGAATATTACATCAATTGTAGATACATTAGTTCCATCATAGTAACTTGATATTTCACTTGTTCCCATTAATATATCTGTTCCAGTTGTCATTGAAATATTGTCGAAAAATTAAACCGCTGTTAAATCAAATGATTGAATGGTATTAGTTGCTAAATAAGCATTTTGAACTGCTAAATTAGTATCAACGGCTACTAATGTGCCACCATTAGGTGCTATATGATTACTTCTTAATGCTCCACCAGTTTTGACATAAACATCGTCAGCAATTAACTACCCATAACATCTACGGTTGCAGTAGAAAAAGTCCATCCAGTAGAAATATCAACTGCTCCAACTACAATAGATTGAACGGCAGGGTCTCCACAAATGAACCTAAATGAAGAATTAGCATCAGTGTTTCTCATATCAAAAGATGAAACCGCACTAACGGTATAATTCTCATTTTGTATCAATTGTTAAGTTACAATAAGTAGCAGTATTAACATTATCACAATTAGCATCAGCATTTGTATAAATATTACCTAACACGTCAACAGGTCTATTAAACATGGTTCTATTAACTAATCCATCACACATCATATACTGGTTGCTTGCGTTGCTCACATCACCAACACTCACAGCAACAAAATTATTATGTGCCATATATAAATCTTCTATTGCATCAGGTGTATATTGTGGTATTAAACCATTATTATTAAGGTTCAAATATGAACCATTATTGAGATGCATTGCTTTATCAGAACCTATAAGCTGGACGGTGTCAGTAAATCTTACTTATCCAGCACAGTTTAAACCATAACCACTGACATGAACTGCACCTAAACCGAACCTATCCTTTTCCCAGACTCTGCCAACAATAGCATCTCCTATTTGAGTTTCCAACTGACCCCCTGCGCTACTCATGCACATTCTACCATTTAAATTCACGATTAAACATTTGAAATGTCATTTGTAAACCTAAATCAGGTGAAGGTGTAGTTCTAAATTTATTACATACTATACTGCCAGTAGTAAGCGTATTCAAATTTCTATGTACAGTTGCATTATCATTAAATTAAT